GAGAAGTACTGCAGGAAAGTCATGTCACCATGCCCACAGGCATACTACTAAACCTTGCCATCTAACCTCAGAGACCTCTCAGTGTTTCTTCACAAGTCTTTTAATCATTCTTCATTGACTCCCCATTATGGTGCGGCAGATATGTTCTAAATCTCCATGCCTCTTATTTCCTACCCCCTACCTCCTTACTCTCAGTTTGCGATTCTGTCATCTACTTTATTGAACTCAAGCTCATCTAGGGCGGATCTCCTTACTTTCTATTTTCCCCTTCACTTCTATTTGTCTACATTTTTCGTTTCTTCTTGATTAGAGAAGTATTTTCTCCTTTCCAAGGCTGATTCTTTTATCTACTCTTTATCTTATGTTCTATCTTTACTATATTCTTTCCCTTCTTATATTTTCAGTATCTTTCTCACTTTTTACAAACTTACTCATTCTATTTCTTGAAAATAAACAAACAAAAAAATCCTTCACTGGACTAGCTTTCTCATTCAGATAGCCATTCCATCTTTTACTTTCCTTTTCTTTGTGATGTCTTGAGAGACTAGCTCCCCTGACTAACCACTTTTTCAGGAACTGGTAAAATTTTCCTTATTTGTAGTATTTGTGGGTTGAACTGAAGACGATTCTTAGGTATATTTCATATTCACCATTCTATGACACTGTACCCACCACCTCCCTTTCCTCACCTCCCACTCATTCCTCAACTTATGTAAGGTGATATTTGTCCTTCTATTAAGTGGAAACAGTTTTCTCAAAATTTGTAATCATCTAGTTTTTGAACCCAAAGGATCTTTTTAACCCTCACCTACTAGACCTCCTTGTATCACGAGGCATGGCTGCTCAGTCTCTACTCAGCACACCCTTTGCTTTGCCCTATTTCTCCGACTCTTCCCTTTACCTCTCTCTTTTATTGGTTCCTCTTCCTTTGACCATCCTCAGAGCTCTTCCACTCACTCCATTAGATGACCCTGTCCACTCAGAAGCTCAATTGCCACTGTGAAAGGAATGATACCCAAATCTATTTCTCCAGGCCAAATTTCTCTCTTGAGCTCCAGATCTCCTTGCTGGAAACCTCTAACTATCAAGCTAGCACCTCAACTTCAGCAGGCCTTCTTTAACCACTTCATGCCTTGCCTTATTACCCTAAGCAGGTGTGCCTCCCATTATTATGGATAGTTGTTACTTTTATATTGTCTCACTAGATTGAAAGCTCTATGAGGGCAGTGACTCACATATTTCACTTAAACCATTGCGTAGCAGTTCCCAACCATTCCTAAAGGGTGTTAGAAAAAATGTATTGATTGAATGTCAAAAACTGAACTCTTTTCCCCTCAGCCTTGTTCCTTCTTCTTGGTTTAGGGCATCACCATCTTTCCAATCTCGAGGCTTGAAATTTGGAGTCCTCTAAGACTCCCCTGCCTGCACTCCAACAATCAATCAGTTGTTACATCCTAATGATTGATCTCCTCAAAGTTTATAAAAATCTGTTCCTGCCTTGGGAGTGAGTTGCTGGGCCTGCAGGCTCAGGACCATGGTTGCAAGGGACATCAAGCTCAATTGGCATAACATACTACACAAAAACATTGTTCTACATCCTATTTTGATGAGCTTTGACTGGGGTCTTAAAAGCTTACAAGTGGCCATCAAAGATGCAACAATTGGTTTATCCTAGTCCAGAGAAAAAGAATGAAGAAAATCAAAGACACATGGAAACAATTAGTCCAAAGGACAGGTAGAACATGTGAACCTCAGCCCACATGACCCTGAAATTGAACTAGATGGTGCCCAGGTGTCACTGTCAACCATTCAGAAGGGGATCAAAATTGGAGATGCTGGATAGAGTGGGAGAAAAATGTGGAACAAAACTCAAAATCATAAAACAGACTAGGCTTACTGATCTGACAGATACTGGTGAAACCTCCAAGTCACCTTTTGGGTCTGGAATTGAACTCACTCCTATGGCTTCCTACCAAACAACAAACCGATAAGATGAACAATTAATTACAGCAGGCAAGTATACTCCTTAGAACAATCAACCATGGGAGATGAGGACACAGGGAAAAATGGGAAGAGAGCTGTTACATTATGGGTATTGCGATCAATGTCACAAAACAAAATGTGTATCAACTGTTGAATGGAAAATAAATTTGCTCTGTAAACTTTCACTTAAATCACAATTACCTATACATATATATTCCCTTCTTTACCGTCATTTGGAGTTATTGGACTGAAGTAGAAAAGTACATGAGTTTTGGATTCAGATGAGTTTAATGCTAATTCCACTAATTTTAGCTGTGTGGCCTCAAGCAAGTTACAGTACTGTGATGAGTCTTAGTTTCCTTATCTGTAAATGGTGATCTACCATCACTTTTTGGACAGTTGTGGATACAATCAGATGTTAGGAAAGGTGCTTGACAGGGTAAACACCTAGCAGAACATTCAAAATGTTCTCTTCCTACCCTGTTCTCCTGCAGCTCTCTCCTGTACTCCCTCTTCTTCAAAGCCGCCACCAGTGCCACTGTCTCCAGGGTAAAGTTCAAATCCCTTATCTTGCCATTCTGTGCTGCTTTCTCTGACCACATGCTCCCTCATGTCTGTGCTTCATCTACTTCAGGATGTTCACCTTTTCCTGACATTCCATTTTCTGACTTCCTGGACTTCTTTTAAGCCCTTTCATTGACCTATGGAATCCTTCCACCCATCTCCATCCACTAAAATCCTACTCAATCGCCAGAGCCACTTCAAATGCCATTTCTCCTCACAGAAACCTTCCCAGATGCCTTCAGATACAATTCTTTTCTGCACCCACTATACCTTACTGTAACACTTACTCAGCAGGCCTTGAATCACAGTTAATTTGCATGGATCTATTTCTCTTACTGGATTGTAAACTTAAAGAAAGCAGGGTTTGAAATGAACTTTGGGCTACTTGATGCTCATTCAAACTGCACTGAAGTCCCTCCCAGATCCTTTTTTTGAACTGAATCCAAACCTGAGCCAACCCAATCAATGCCAGGCTTCAAGCGCCAAATGGACTTTTCTTTAGTCTCTTTAGCGTGTCCCAACCCTCTTCCTGTCAATGAACCCCCGTGCATCCTCCACAGAGACTCAATTCCTGGTTCCAGCTCTAGAGAGCAGAGACATGCACACTTCCACCACTAGTTTCATGATAGGCACTGAGTCATCCCTTGGGGATCCCTGGGCCTCCTTCTCTACCCCACTGGGGTGGGCAGGATGCCTGCTGCCTGGCCCCAGGAGGTCAGAGGAAGCCAAGGGCCTCTAGGGCTCAGTATTTTTATCAGCCTAGGAAACAAGAGACACAGAAGCGGAAACCATGTGGTCAGAGAAAGTGAACAACCCTCATCTCAGGGGAACCCCCACCAGGCCTGGGGGCCAGACATGAGGGAGGGACATTGAAAAGAGGGAGATCTAGGGGCCTAGGTATCAGGGTTTGTTGTGCTTTGGTTTCATGTAACTCTTGTACAGGGGGATAATGCTGCGCTTAAAGCCAGAAAAAAATATCCTGGGTGAAGCAGTAAATATGGATACCATGGCTTTCTGTTTCACTTAACCCCCTTCTTAGGGATCCTAACCCCAATTCCCCACCCCCACCACTTCAAACCTGGGTTCTTTGCATGCCACTTCCGAAATCTCCGGCCTGTGAGAGGAACTGGACGCCTGGGTTGCTCACAGCTTAAAGTCTCTTTTCTGAATCACAGTAGCTTCCTCTCACAGGATCTTTCTCACCAGCTCTTCCCCCTTCTGCCCCTGAACATCTGCCTAGTCTCTCACAGGCCTTGGGTCTCCCCTCAACTTAAGGCTGTCTTCTTGGGGGGACTCATGCCCACCCCACACTCCCATGTTTCCAGAGCCTCCCCACCCTGTCCTCTGCCACCCTCCGCTTCCACTCCAGGGACTCTCTTCTATAGACCTGGCCTCAAAACCTGAAAAGTGAGTTTCTCATTTGACACACTCTGGTGTAGCCTCATATAGACTGTGCCCACATCAGCATGTGCATACCATGTACTCTCTCTCAGTGCTGTCCTTTTTGTTGTCTCCACTTGAGTCCTGGGGGATGGCAGTGAGGTTTGGTATTGTCTACAACTTTCCAGCCCAGTTTCCAGGGACCTGAGTGGGAGGGTATTATCAATAATGGGAGGGATGGAGCCCCTCTCCTTGCGGGAAACCTAGACCCTCTTCCACCCCTCAGGACTTCAACCACTGGCTCCTGAAAAAGGAGATGTTTATCTCCAAGGGCAAGTCTGGGTGCCCAGACATACAGGTTTGAGAAGGGGGCAGAGCCTAGATAGGGGGAGAAACTAGATGGAGATAAGATTTGAGGCCCTGAAGGGAGAGGGCTTGGAGGAGAGACAGGACAGAGAAGCTGGAAGGGGCAGTTGCTGGGAGACCGGCAGCCTGGCTAAGCTTGGGTGTGGATCTCTGGTTGCCCAAGAACAAATAACCCAGGTTACATAATTTGGCTCTTTCCTCCTCCTTCCCCTGCTCCTATTTTTAGTAATCGAAATTCTACTCCCCAAAGGGTTCTTCCTCCATCCATTCTATCTCCCATCCTCCCAAGGCCTCATGGTCCCTCAGCCCCAGCTGCCCCCCAACTCGGATCATTCTGTGACTCAGCAAAGGGAAAGCCCTATGTTGGGGGAAGGGAGTGTTAAGTGGGGTGGAGGATGTGGTTCTGGCTGGGGAGGGGAGGGAAACTGGTGTTGTTCCCCTTTTTGCCTCTGTTCACATCTACTTCTCCAGCCGCAGACTGCAGAGTGGAGGGGACCCCAGTGTCGGGGGTGGGAGACTAGAGGGCAAGTTGGGCCTTCTAAGGGATGACACTGAGAATGGGCAAGCAGCTGAGGGCATATGTTAGTGTGTGCGTGCAGGTTGCAGATGTGTAGGAGCTGTGGGTTTCAACAGGAGGGACGGGAAAGGAGATGTAATGGGTGATGAAAACCACAGCAATGGAAAAAGGCAGAGGAGACACCAGGAGGGAGATGTGGAACTAGGTCTTATTAGGAAATGGCAGAGTCAAGGAGCAGTGGTGGTGGGCCACACCTCCCCCACCCCCACTGGTTACTAGTTTCGCTCCCACCCCATATCCTCTACTGTGCAGCATCTTCCTTTTCCTTGTCCTTGTCATCTCCATCCCAGGCCTTATCATCCTTCCTTCTGCCCCACCCCTAAGGCTTCATTCCCCGTAGTTTCTTGTGCTGTCCATGGGGTTACTTGAGGGCCTCTGCATGGCGATTCAGGGCCTGGGAAAGAGCTGTCACAGCTCCCATCACACGGCCCAGCTCCCAGGTCTCAATCTGGCTCCGGAATCGCTGCAGGAAGCGGTCAGGGTGCCAGCGGACCTGCTGGACCCTCAAGTACCTCCTCAGAGCCCCTTGCTCCTCCAAGGGGGGACCCCTGGCAACCAGGGCTGCGGCCATGGCCTCCGGGTCTCCTCCCCCAGGGCAGGGCCAGGGCACATCGCCAAAGCGCCAGAGGCTGCCCCTCCCTGCTCCTCTTGTGTGCTCGGCCCTGGGCCCAGCCCTGGCTGGCTCTGGCCCTTGGTCCCCACGAGCTTCCTGGGCCCTCCTGGCTCGGCTCTCACGCAGTTCCTCCTCCTTGGCCCGGGCTCGCTCTCGGAAGAGCCGCTGCTCCTCCTCCTGCTGTCGCCAACTGTGACTGGAGCCCTCAGCCCGCTGGGATCTGCAGGCTCCCTCTGCTTCCCACTGCTGCTGCTGTTGGCACTTCTGGGCATGTTCTCGGGCCAAGCGGTCTGACCAGGCTGAGAAGGACTCGGGTTCCTGGGCCTCATGGGATGCATCATCTGTTTGGGAGGGTGGGATGTGGGGAGTTGGAGGAGAGGTTATGAGAAGAGGGTGGGTCAAGGGAGGCAGAGAAGCCTAAAGGAAGGGGGCAGAGGAAGCCCAGGGCAGAGCATTCATGCGGTAGGTCTGAGAAAAGCAGCCAGTGGGGAAGAAGGGCAGCTGTAGATAGGAATGGATTTCTTACCTTCAAACCTCCCAATCACCTCCTGCCACTCATCCTCTAGCTCTCCTTGCAGCTTTTGCCTCCATTCCTGCTCCTTGGAAGCCTCATCTTCTTCCTCTTCTTCAGCAGAATCCCAGGGGGGTCCCCAGCCCAGAATTTGCCCAGGGGTCTCCCCGTCCTTATTCTTTATTCCCATTGCAGAAGGACAGCGACTCAGCAGCGGCAGGAAGAAGTCTGTGTAGGCTGTTGGTGGGAGAGCAGTGAGAAGTTAGCTCGGACTTCCATGCCTTGGCAGGGCTACCATCTTGAATTCTAAGGAGTTCTGTGGTTACTTACTTGGTGTTAGAGCAACGGATGTCTCTAGGTGTAAGGAAATCACCATCGCCAACAAAGACTTACTGATAATTCACCACATGCATAAGTGTGACAGTTTAAAATATTCTGACCTGTGTCTCCACAAACTATTTTAGTGTCCAGGAGTTTTCTTTGTTAAAAAAAATAATTTCTGGCTTTCCTCCAGGTAATTAGGGTAATATCAAAACCCTGTGACTAAGTATCCCTTGTAAGCTTGAAAATATTGTCTCTATAGACCTCTTATCATACATTTCTTACCCAAAACTATACCTCAAACTGGTAAAATATTTCTCAATAAACTGACTTTAAAAAAATGTTTTCAGAGGGACTTCTCTCAGCCAGCTTTACCCAGGGGTTGACAGTAGAGGGGTGAGGGAGCAGGGAATTCAGAAATGTTCCCAAAAGCAGAGCAAGCTCTTTCCAAATGACTGCTGACCTAGGGCAGGGGAACGAGGCTGAGAGAGAGGGTCTCTCTCAGGGGCTGGCTGACAGAAGGCTGGGAGAAAACAAGAAAGGGATGGATCTTCTTAAGCTCTCATCTTCCTCAGCCCTGCCCTCATGGCACACACTCCACTGTTAGCTGAAGGCCATGCCACTCACTTCACTGCCAACCCAGGCACCCTTTCCCAGGCCAACCACTGTGGCCACCAACCACTCTTTCACTCTGGGGACAGAGGAAGGTGAGAGGCACCTCCCTTCCTTGGGACCTACTTTCTCTCATTAGAGGAGGAGGAAATGGGCCACTATTCTTAAATCTTTATTCTGTGGTGTGGCAAAGTCCTTGTTACCTGGCAAAAGGATGGGATGGAGAAAGGTTCTCCCGCCACTGTTAGGAAGGCAAGAAGACATAATGGGCCCGAACTTTGGCTGCAAAGCCCACGACCCTCACTTGTTCCGGGGCACACTTGAGTGCTGCCCAACCCAAACCACATCAGGGAGAAGGGAGGGGGTATTTCTCTTTAGTACTGACATGACTGACACCAGCCCTCCTAACCTGTGCTAGCCAACAAGTTCATGGCCCTGTCTTTCAACGGCTTCTTCCCCACCACAGTGCACTGCAAGTGGGAGAGTAGATGGATGGGTACTCTGGTTTGAAACGGGAGGTTTTAAAACTCACAGGCTTTAAGGAGTAAGGCTAACAACAATAAAAACAAGGTAGGTAAATTATGGTACAGAATATTTGCAATCAATGAAAACAAGGCTTATGTGTGAAAAAGCCGGCTCTGATCGTAAGAGGGAGAAAGACTAAATTTCATGGTTGAAGAAAACAGACTGGATGAAAATATGCATAAATTCTAGTCTCTGGTTGGTAGGACTATATAGTTGGTCCTCTCCCTCCAATTTTATTTGAAATTTTAATATGAAAATAATTTGAATCTTTTTTTTAAAGAATGAAAAATAAATGTAATCTCTGTTAATAGTTTGTTGTGATACCTTCTAATCCTGTGCTTAAGTATATAAACACATCCATGACAAATTTTTTTTTTCCAGAGATACTACTATATGTATTGTTTGGCAACTTGTTTTCACTTAACATCTTATATGCATTTTCCACCGGAGTTAATATTCAGATCTACCTCATTCTTTCTTAATGAATTTGTAGTGTTCCACTAGTGTATGAAACAAACACCCTCCCCTCAATGACAGACTTCAATTGTTTCCGAAAATCTTCAGCCTCATACACGTATTTGTGGACTGGTTCGGTATTTGTGTGGGGCAGATTCTTAGAAGTGGAATTTCTGAGTCAAAGAACATATGCAGTGTTGTCAAATGGCTCTAAAAAATTTTTGTGCCAATATGTATCTTCACCATGAATATGTAAGACTGCTTGCATCTTTCCTCACCAAAATTCAGTATTATTCATCTTTTTAATTTTGTCAGTCTGATTTAAAAAAAAAAATGATTTTATGAATAAAGTTGTCCTCTTTTTCACATGTGTGGTGATCTGAATTTATTTTGTGACTGATTCATATTCTTTGCCCACTTTTACCTGGAAATTATATATATATAGATATGAAAGCACTTGACAGAGTATAGATATTAACCATTGGTGTTTGTTACATATATATTTCCTCCTGCCTTTTAAAAAAAATTTATGCAGTTAAACTTGTATCAATTTCTTCTTTTATGGCTTTTGACCTTATTTCCTTCTTAGGAAGACTTTCCCCACTCTAAGGTGATAAAAATATTCCCTTGTAGTTTCTATTATTTTCTATTTATTTTATTCTTAGAGAATAAAATTTTTAAAAGTGAAATGTACAATAAGTAACCCTGTTCATGCCATAAAGTATGTTAACACATCATTTTTGCAACATTGTTTTATTTTAAGGAAATAAAAACCATTATAGATAAAGCTAAAGTTCTCTGACACCTCCTTCCAAGTTAATCCTCACCTCGAAGTCCCAGGGGCAACCTTTCCTATGAATTTGGTGTGTGCCCTTCTTGTTACATTTAGGTGTTTATGTGGCTGCAATTGACTTTTGAGCCAGATGTGGAACCAAGTGTTTCAGTACCATTTATTGAATAGCCCACCCTGAATCCAATGATTTGAAATGCTACTTTTTTCATCAATTTAGCAATAGAGATCAACTTTTTCCAATGCTCTTTAATTAAAACATACTTTTATACTGGGAAAAATAAATATGAAGAAAAATTTTGTGGAATAAAATTATATTTTGTCTTAAGTGATGGAAATGCTGCTTTTCTTTCAGCCATAGTAAGACATAATTTCTACCTTGAAGGGACATACACATTAAGTGGTATAAAAAGACATTTAAAAAAATGCCAATATCAGAGCAAGTAGTGGGACCTGTGGGCTTGTGACCATAGTTGCAGGGGACATCAAGCTCAATTGGCATAACATAGTACACAAAAATATTGTTCCACATCCTACTTTGGCGAGTAACAACTAGGATCTTAAAAGCCTGCAGGCAGCCATCTAGATGCAACAATGGATTTCTCCTCAACCAGAGCAAAGAAGAATGAAGAAAATCAAAGACACATGGAAACAATTAGTCCAAGCGACTGGTACACCATGTGATCCTCAGCCTATACGACTATGAGATCAGAAGAACTAGATGGTGCCTGACTACCACTGTCAACCACTTGGAGAGGGATTTTTGTCATAGATCCTGGATAGACTAGGAGAACAATGTGGAACAAAACTCAAAATCATTAAAAAAAAAAAAAAAGACCAGGTTTGCTGGTCTAATAGAGTCTGGTGAAACCCCTGAGACTATGTCCCCTAGTTGCCCTTCAGGTCTGGAATTGAACCCATTCTTATGGCTTCTAGCCAAACAAAAGACAGGCATATGAGCTGAACATTTTACATTAGGTAGATACACTCCTTGGAGAGATCAATCATGGGAAAATAGAAGGGCTGTGTATGCACAGGGAGACAGCAGGGGGCAGGAGTGCATGGGAGGGAAGGGCACAGGAAAAGGTAACTATGGCTATGCAACTATAGCTGCTGCATTGTGGGAAATTGCAGTCAATGTCATGAGACAAAGTATTGTGAGCTGCTGTATGGGAGATGAATTTTCTCTGTAAATGTTCACCCAAATCACAGTAAAACTTCTTAAAAAAGAAAAAAAAAAAGCCAATTATCAGAAGCTTATAGTCAGTAATGACTGACTGAAACCCGGAGGAGGAAAAGGTAACAGTGAACAATGTTGGAGAAGGCCTGAAGGAAAAAGGGAATTCTGCCGTGCAGGAAGGGAGGCTAATTCTTAGCAAAGTAGAAATCAGGTGAAAGGAAAGGCAACAGACAGGCAGGCTTGTGAAAGGCATGCTTGGGTCACTGATGACACAGCTACAAAGCTGGAGTCACAAGTTTGTGGGTGTGCAGTGGGAGGTAAGATTGGAAGGACATATGGGACATAAAACTGATGGCTTGGCTATCTGAAAAACGGGGTCACCACCTACTTCTACTATGCAGATTAAACTGGACAATCGATGTTAGAGGCCTTGGTACTATGCTGGCACACAGCAGATGTGCAATGAATATTATATTAAAAAAAATACCTTGCTGGTCTATTTGCAAAGATTGAGAAAATGACTCTCCTGTTTCTCAATGTTCACTAATTCTTGCAGAGAATGATTATTGTCTGGCTAAGGTGTGTTTATGCAGGAGTCTCTGGTACCTAAGACCACTTCCCCGTGTGTTAATGGGTTTCAAAGGGAAGCCACCTAAAGCTCCAAAGGTAGAGGCCATTCACTACAGTCTCACTGGGTGGGATAACCCAGCCTGGCCAATCCAGCATAAACTGCACATTCCTCAGACCTAACAGGTGAACTCAGGGCAAAAACTGAAGGGATTTTGGGTTCATTTCATCTGTTCAGTGAAATGCATTTTATTAAGCAGAGATTAGTCTCTGGAAGCTTAATGACATAAACCTTTTGACCAAGGAGTTAGAAGGCCACCTGGTGGCGACGCTGGTAGAGATAAAATGGGAAAGGAAACTAGACATGTGGAAGTGAAAGATGAGAAGCCCCTTAACAGCTGTGAGATTCTAGTCACGTTCGTCATTCCACTTTTCTCATCTTAATGTCAATCTCACATGCTTCACAGAATACAAAGAAGGAAGTGCCTAACACATTGTCAGGGACATTTTTATTACTCAAAAAGCCTTTACTGAATAATACAAAAATAATAATACTTGTCATTTGGTGAGTGCAAATTTTAAAAGTGTGCATACCTCTCTTATTCATCACAACCTTCATGTTAGACAGGCAAATGAGGTTTACCGCATTTAAGCTGGGTGAGCCTGTAAGTGGTAGAGCTAGGATTCAGATGCAGGACGGCCTCACACTGCTTCATTCTACTGCCTTCTAGGGTCCTGCCTCTTACAAAAATCAGCTGTCAAGTTAGACACCTGCATTTTGTAAACCTCCTTCGTTATTAAGTTAAAAAAAAAAAATCTGAATATGACCAAAACCAAAAAACCAAACTCACTGCTGTCAAGTCAGATCCAACTCATAGAGACCCCTTCTTGGGTTTCCGAGGCGCTATCACTACGGAAGTAGATTGCCCCATCTTCACGACAGACTATCTCATTTATATTAAGGGGGATTAAAGAAAAGGGTTATTTTTTTCCCAAGGGCAACTCCCCAAAGGGGGAGTTTTTCTGGGGAAAGGAGGGGTTCCTGCATATACTTAAGTTGGGGGATGATAAGAGGAGCAAATCAAATTTAGTTCGGGCTGCTCTCCAGGGGTGGATTAACCAGTAAGCATGGTGTGCACTGACTTAAATGTGCTTCATTACTAATCTGTAGTGAATAACTTCATCTGAGTTTTACTACATCTTTGACGTGGTGAAACCCAGATGAAATTGTTTACTACAGATTAGTAAGTAAGCACAATTAAGCCCATGCATACCTTGCTTACTGGGTAATCCATCCCTGGCGCCTGCTCATCTCCACCCACAGCTTTTTTCTCTAGGAAATAGCAGGTTCTAATTTGAAACTCTCAGTGTCAAAGTTTTTCAAAACTCAGGTGTTTGGGGATTTGGTAAAACTGACCTTAATGTATGTACACTTTCTATTAGGCAGCATCTAAAGGAGGTTTCTGGCCAACCCTGGTAACCAAACACATGAATTATTTCTGCAGTGAAATGTATGAATATTGACATCAAGTGGAATAAAAACAAATCACATAGCTTCACTTTTGTTCAGTGACCAAAATGAGTTTGCCACCAAATGAGATTGGGTGGCAGACTACTGAAAAATGTTTGGCTTTTTGAGTTTCAGAACTGCAGGTAACAAAGTATAGACCGGTTGATAACTACAATAGGAACAACCGCCAGCATCTATCAAGCACTTACTTTGTCAGGCACTCTTAATGTGTACTATGTCAACTAATTCTGAAAACATACATGTCACAGTATGGGTGCTTGGAACAAGGTCATTATCCTGTAATTCCATAATGTACCTACTTAGATCATGGGCACTTTAGCCAGGCTGACTGTGTTTCAATCCCTGCTCCACCATTTAATTTTCCTGCGCCCAGTTTCCTCATTTGGGAAATGGGGGATCATATTAGTATTTACTTCATAGGGTTGTTGTGAGGGTCAAACAAGTTACTTTGTGGAAAGTGCCTGGTATATGTTGTTGTTGTTGTTGTTATGTGCCATCGAGTTGGACCCTACTCATAGCAACTCCTCCTTGGGTTTCTGAGGTGGTATCACTACGGAAGTAGATTGTCCCAACCTTCCTTCCAAGGAGTGGCTGGTGGGTTTGAACCTCCAGCCTTCTGGTTAGCAGTTAAATGCCTTAGGCACTACACCACCAGAGCTCCTACCTAGCACATAGCAAAGGTTATTATTATTTTAGTTTGCACATGGGCAAACTATGTCTCAGAGATGTTCAGTAACTTGCCCAAAAGTCACAGCTACTAAGTATGGAGTCAGGATTTGAACCCAGCAAATTTGTCTCCAAAAGTACCCTCTATGCTGTTTTGTGCTACAGGCAAACAACTAGTCAAGAATCAAAGAAGCTACCAATCTAGAAACATGAAATTTGAAGACCAGTTGCAATTTTGGGAATATTGGGCTCTTCAGAAAATGGTAATTCAGTAATGAAAAGGCATAACAACAAATACATGCCAGCTAGGGCCCACTTACCAAACAACTAGTTTATTTTTCAACTGCTCGCCTTCATTTCAGATCCCGTCAGTTGCTCATGACCTTGTCCCCACTGGGCAGACTCACCATCAGGGCCCTGGCGGGCAGCAGCGTGCAGCGCTGTGTCCCCGTGGCGGTCTTGGTGGGCAGGGTCAGCCCCGAGCCGAAGCAGCAGGCAAAGGGCAGGGGCATCATGGCGGGCACAGGCCCGGTGCAGTGGTGGGGGCTGCCCAGCATCTACATCAAGGCCTGGGTGTCGCTGGAGGAGGGCCTGGGCCCGGACCAGCCGTCCTGCAGACAAGTAACGACGGAAGCGACGCTCTCTGCGTTGGCGGCGGGAAGTGGAGGCCATGGAACTCTTGGGCTAAAGACGAAGGGAAAAAGGCAGCAATCAGGACCCTAGCCTTGGATGGTCTCTCCTCCTCTATCTCTGACATTCTCTTATTCCTCTCTTCAGTTCCCCGTTTCGTCTCAAATTTTCAACAAGGGATGAGGCCTATCCTAACTCCCATCTCTTCTCATCAAATGACAGGTTTGGAAAAAATTTTTGAGGGAGGCTGGGGTCATAGATTTAATTTTTTATGTAAAATTTGATAAAAGGATAAAATAATTGCTTTAAGGCTCACGAGCCTAGATAAAATTTAATTCTGAATAAAGGACTTTGAAAAAGACGGCTAGAGACTGACGGGGGAAATTGTCAGCAGAAATTTGAATTTTAAAAAGTCAGTTATTTTCAAATAATGATCTAGAAATTGAATATAATGTACCCGGCAGACAGATGTAGAGGCTTCTCCCTCTGGGACCTGGGGGGAGGGGTTACTCATCAGACCTGCCCCCCGCCCCCCCAAATAACCCCAGAACTGTAGGCCCGAGGCCTGTGTTTAAGACGCTCGGAGGAAGGGAGGTGGGAAGGGCGGAGACACTCCAGGCTGGCGGAAATGACATAGAGAGACGCAGGTGAAGGGCGGAAATGAACTGTAAGGTGTGTTACTGGATGTCGTTCCACCCCGAAGGAGTGTTTCTTTAGTCAAGCTTCCGGGAGGGAAACTAGGGAACTTAGATAAAGGACCGGCTTGAAACTAGAGCTCTGGTGGCGTAGTTCCTAAGGCATTTGACTCCTAACCAGGAGGCTAGTGGTTCAAACTTCCCAACCCTGCCTCAGAAGAATGGTTGGGCAATCTACTTCCGTAGTGACACCGCCTCAGAAACCCAAAAAGGGGTAGCTATGAGTGGGTGTGGGAGCTCTGGTAGCATAGTGGCTAAGACACTTGCCTGCTAACCAGACGGCTGGCGGTTCAAACCCACCAGCCACTCCTCGGAAGGAAGGTTGGGCAATCCTACTTCCGTAGTGATACTGCCTCGGAAACCCAAGGAGGGGTCGCTATGAGTCAGGGCTGACTTGACGGCACATAACAACAACAACAACATGAGTGGGTGTGACTCTGCAGCAGTGAGTTTGGTTGTGCTTTTGTTTTTTTGAAACCAGAAGATTGGATGGGAGGCAAGGAAAAGGATGGGGAGAGAAAGGAAGGTGATTTTGAGGTTGAAGCCCTCATCTCCCGGCTTGAAGGAGGATGAGATGTTTCAGTGATAGACAAAAAGATGATGACAGAAAGAAAACAGGAGAAATAAAGGCAATAAAAACCACAGTGAAAATGGAAAACAAAAAACTTACACAAAACAACACCGAAAATCAACAACTACAGTCATAAATGGAGGGTCAGCAAAAATGGGTAAGACTCTAAGCAAGATGGATTGACACAGTGGCTGGAGATGGGCTCAAGTACATAGCAAGGACTGTTGAGGATAGCACGACCGGGCAGTGTTTGGTTCGATTGTATGTAGGGTCGCTGAGTCTGCGATGACTGGACGACACCTAACAACAAAATAGTAAGAACAGGAGCGACATAAGGAGATAATTGTACTACAGGGCGAAAGAAGTGGACGCAGGAATTTAGACCTGAGAAAGACATAGGAAAAAAAAATTAGAGATGAGAACGGGAGGGAGAGAAAAAGGGGAAGACAGGTTGGGATTATTCAGAAAAGCCATCCTTCTGCAACACATGTCGTATAATGACATCCTTACCTCCTCACACCATTCTCAACCCTTCTATGCCTCCGGCATTCAGACCGTCAACCACGCTCTCTTTCTCCTACCCATACACACCTCCCCTTCCCACCCCTGCCCCAACCCCCCGCCCCCGACGTTCCTGACTGGAAAGGCCGTGTTCCTGAAGTGGTGGTAGCTGACAGCTTTGGACCTGGTCTCTGCTGCTCTCAAGCGGTCTTTCTGGGTACTGCCAGGATGAGAGAGGAAAGAGGAGGACCATTCATCTGGAGGGATGCATGATCTGATGGGGGAGACACTGGGTGGAGAGAGCTGAGAGAAAAGAGGAGCACTAAGACCCAGGGGTAGTGGAGGACTACAGCAGGAGGAGGAAAAGCAGGAGGTGGGGGTGGGAGAACTCTGGTACCTAGGTAGGATCTGCAACAGCATCAGCATAACAACAGCAATGGCCAGTCAGTCGCAGGGCATCCAGCAGCTCCTGCAAGCCGAGAAGCGTGCAGCTGAGAAGGTAGCAGATGCCCGGAAGAGTAAGTCTTCTTCCCTTCCTATGAGGTCCAGAAAATAAACGGGGGTGGGAAGAAAACATCCGAATCCTTAGGAAAACCCAAGGCAGGTAGGGAGAGGGTTGGGGTCTGGGAGCTAGTAAAGGAGGGAAGAAATGGGTAGGTGTTAGAATCTAGCACCTGGTGGATTGAGAAAAGCAGAACTTTCTGGAAAGACTGACCCCTATGATAGCCTTTATTTTTTTTGTGTGTGGGGGGTCCACCCCTGCCCCCTGTCCTTTTTCCTTCTAGGGAAGGCCCGGCGTCTGAAGCAGGCGAAAGAGGAAGCCCAGATGGAGGTGGAACTATATCGCAGAGAGCGAGAGCAGGAATTCCAGAGCAAGCAGCAGGCGGTGAGTCCTGGGGCAGTCAGGGAGGAGGCCAAGGATGCAAGTCAGGGGTGCATCTGGTGAGGTGCATTTGGGGTGATCCAACAAGAAAATAAGGTGGCAGAGAGCTGGAGGGGACCTTGGCAGGGACCAAATATTTATCCAATTTTGTGATTTGTAAGGATGTGGGAGTTTTTTTTAAAGGATGTGCACAGTTTGTGGCTGGGAGACACCACGCCTATGTGGAGAATGGTGACATCTCATGTGCAGAACAGGTTTATGGTCATGGGTGGTGAGATGGTGGGAATATTACAATCTATTTTAAGTAAAGGTGAGTACATTGTCTTAGAGGAAAGGGGTTTGTGTTGATATCTTTGGGGTCTGGACATTTCTGTGGGATGGGATGGTTTTGGAGGGGCTAGTCCTTCTTTCTGATCTTGCTCCAGGATTTTCCCCTCTGCACACCTGGACCCTTCTTTTTCTGCTTCTGCTTTTTCGTTTCTCTCTTCCCCCTTTTCCCCTCACCCTCCAGGCCATGGGCTCCCAGGGGAACCTGTCAGCTGAGGTGGAGCAGGCAACTAGGCGCCAAGTGCAAGGCATGCAGAGTTCCCAGCAGAGAAACCGTGAGCGCGTCCTGGCCCAGCTTCTTGGCATGGTCTGCGAAGTCAAGCCCCAAGTCCACCCTAACTACCGGATCACTGCCTAGGACACACCCCAGGCCTTGACTCTTCCTGCCAGTCCTTTCCTTCAAAAAAATCCACTAAACCAAAATCACTTTCCATCATAGTCCTTCTCTCTCCATTCCCTGGAAATCCTAGGAGACAGGATCCAATACTTTTCCTGTATAACTTACAAATATCCTGCTCAGATCTGAATCCTCTTGTTCTTTAACCCTCCCTGGGACCTTGTCACTTTCGCCTAACTCCTAAACTTGTGGCATGGAGAAGTAAGGATATGGGCAACATCTTGACTTCAGAGCCTGACAGGCTCGGGTTTCCCTCCCCACCCTACCACTTGCTGATGTGCAACCTTTGAAGCCTCAACATTCCCCTTTGTGAAACTGGAATAACAACAATGCCTGCCTTGCCACGTTGCTGTAGTGATCACTCTGTAAAGAGGCTAGCATGGTTTCTGGCATGTAGTAGCTGTGATTCCATAAATGACAATCCTGTGATCTTATTACTACTCCCCACTCACCTGCCAAACCTAGATACAGTTGGGTTGGTTTTTTTTTTTTTTTTTTTTTGCTTCTGTCAATGGCTTTATCATGTGACTCGAGTGAGTCTCTGAAGAATTGTTTGTTCCTGCCCTCTTTTCCCCAGAAACTTTATAATCCCTGGATGGATGGAATTATGGCTTCATTTAGCCTCTATACTACAACTCCAGGCAAATCCTGCCTCTCTTAGCTTCTCTTTCTCTCTCAAGTTTATCTTTCTCTTTATTGGATTTCCCCTTTTTCCTATGTCCCCAAAGACCCATCAGATGCTTTTTCCTGAGTTCTAAGGTGACACTGTTCCCACACACAGTTCTCCTTTCTACATCATCACCACCATACTTTTCCTTTGGATTCCACCTATTTGTGACAATAAAAATGTGTCAGTAAAATAACTTATAGGCAAACCAATTGGTGAGTTAAAGCAGTCTCCTTTTGCCTCATCATTTACTTTCAATCACTCTCGTTTCTTTTAGATATTCCCCAGACATCCAAGAGGGCTGCTCTTTGAAACTTGGAGAAACAAAAGGAATAACACAACAAATGCAATGCACTGCTCTGGAGTCAGATCTGACTCACAGTGACCCCTCCTTGGCTTTCCGAGGGGTTATCTCTAAGGAGGTAGATTGCCCAACCTTCCTTCTGAGGAGTGGCTGCTGGGTTTGAGCCATCAGCCTTTTGGTTAGCAGTCAAATGCCTTAGGCACTAAGGCACCAGAGCTCCTAACAAAATAGCACTTTAATATAATTTCTCTAAAATGATGAACATATATGGTTCCTTATTTGGGAACCTGAGGACTATAGATGGCAGCTGGAGAGAAGAGCTGGGGTGTAGGAACAAGCACTCTGCCCCCTTTGTTTTATTTTTCCTTCATAGCACTGTTGCTACTTGACGTTTATCTGTTGAGCTCCCCATCTATGTAATAAGCTCTTTGAGGACAGTTATGTGCACTGTTGTGTCCCCAAACATCAGGATAGCACTTGGTACAAGGTGGGCAGTTGATAAACGTTGTTGAGTAAATACTTAAGATCGGGAAAATGGTCCTTTCATGATACCATCCTTGAATCAATGTTATTTCTCTTGGCCGTAGAAGACAAGTCTGCTTCACTAGGGACTTAAGCCAATGAGGTATTATTTATTCACCCAGCTCTCCCTTTCTTCAGATGGGGAGTTAGGATACAATAGAGGTTAAGAGATCATGTCCTGGATCCTCCCATATTACCAATTGTAGTGCTCTACTCTAAGCCTGTTTGCTAGTCTATAAAGTGGGAATAACAATAGTATCTACTCTACAGTATTAAATGGTTAAGTGTGGTGACAGGTGGAACTTAATTCAAGGCGTGGCCAAACATTCGTTAATTTTTTAAAGCAGTTGGACATCACCTCTGTGGCATCTCAAAGAGGGAAACTTCAAATAATTAATTCAGAATAAAAATGTGGGGCTGTTGTGGGGCGGGGAGGGCTAAGAACATTCTGATAGAATTATCTATTTGGAACGTTGGACAACCTTCAAGCCCTATAATTTATCTTCAATATGTGAGGCAGAATTTAGATTCTATTCCCGCTCAGAGGATTCAGAACACTGTCCCGGCTCGCAGTCCCTGCTCACCAGCCTCAGAGCCTTTGAGTCCTCAGCTACAGTGACCGACATGATTCTAGCAAATGCCACCCATCCCTCCTCTGTTCCCACAGTTGGAGAAGCAGGATCCCCAAATATGCCTCGCTGCAGTTTCCTCATCCTATTTTCCCCATCCCTACGTCAGGTGGGGCGGGACACCCCTAGCGCAAGCCAAGGCACCCACAGGTCACCTTGACAACAAGGCCGAGGACCCCGTGGGAACTCGCAGCCCTGCCGCCCTCGTTCATCGCGCCCCCACGGAGGGGTGCCCAGAGAGAAAACCTGCGTGGCAAGAACCTAAAGGAAGTGGTGAGGGGCGTGGAGAAGAACAGGACACGAGAGGCTAGATAACGATGGGAGGGGATACTAGTTCCCTTTTTTGCCTTTGGTTACTGGTAGTATTGGAGGCATTCGAAATAGCTTTCAAGAAAGAAAATATCAGACAGGCATTTTCCAAAGGCAACCCCGGAGCGAGCGAAACTTTAGAACCGCAAATGGTTCTTCTTCCGGTCCCTTGCGTCTGCGTGTTGGCAGTCGAGAAGGCGGGAGGCCGGGGTAGAAGGAAGCCAGGGGCCGGAAGTGAAGGCAGATTCCCTTTTTCGTTGCTCTTGCCGCCGCCATACGCGCCCGCCCTGCTCAGGTAAGCTTCGGCCTTATTTACCATCCGATTCCATCCGCGCATTTCCGCGACCATCCAGTCCTGTGGGATGCTGATACCCCTTCCATAGGGGATGATCTGCTCTCTGGGATCTAGTTGGGTCGTTATTTCTGTTTTTTGTATCTTATTGGATAGCAAGGAGTTCTGGGGGGACACTGGGGAAGGGGGGGCAATCCAAGATGGTGGCCCCGGCGCCATTGTGTTCCCTGACTCCTGGCTTCTCCGGTGGGTTCCTCGTTGGCCAGAGGCCCCGCGACAACGGGAGCAACGCTTAGAGTTCCCTAGTCCTGAGCGTTTGCAGAGGGCGGGGCTCTTCTCACCTCACCCCTCCCCTTCGGCGGGAACTGAGTGCTGGGCCCAGATGGATTTTTCTCACCTCGACTTGCCAGCCTTTATTTGGTTGCTTTCCAGATTTTTTTTTTGTTGTTGTTGTTGTTGTTATGTGCCGTCGAGTTGGCCCCGACTCATAGCGGCCCCTCCTTGGGTTTTCGAGGCGGTATCACTACGGAAGTAGATTGGTCCATCATCTTTCTGAGGAGTGGCTGGGGGGTTTGAACCGCCAGCCTTTTGGTTAGCAGTGAGATGCCGTAGGCACTACGCCACACACCTTTCTCCAAATGTTTACAAGTGGTGTTTTATACAAAGGAGTCTCACCTGGCGCAAAGGTGATGTGAGACTATTTGGTGAAAGTGGTGGTAAGGGTGGAGCGAGGATACAACTTTTCTCCTCAATTATTAGCTTCTTCAGAGTATAGTGGAGAGATGAATGTTATCGACCATGTATGCCATATCCTCCCATTAATCACGGTCATTTTTTTTTTTTAAGCAGCGGAAGGGAGGGGACAGGAGTATGGCGCTGGAGAGCTGTGGGAGGTGGATGGCAGCCACATGATGTTTTCATTTTGAGATAGCGCTTTGCGCCGTGATGACCTTTATCTATCACCCTTGACTGATGGCTGCGGGGTTGGGGGTCGACACTTGGAAATAAAAGATAGGGACAGCACAGAGTTCTCCCTTAAGAATTTTTCAGGACTTTCTTTTTCATCTCATTTGCAATCTCTAGTCACCAGTTTTTAATGAATTCTGTTTCTCATTACGTTTTTTTTTCCTTTTCCATTACAAGCCGCTGGGTGGTGCTAACTGTTAAGCGCTTGACTAATACCGGAAGGTTGGTGGTTGGAACCACCTAGAAGTGCCTCGGCAGACAGTCCTGGCGATCTGTCTCTGGAAGGTCACAGCGTTGAAAACCCTGTGGAGTACAGGGGATTGCCATGAGTCAGATTACACAAAACTAACAATGTAGCTAATTTAAAAAATTTGTTGCATCGCGTCTGTTCAGACTCAGCAACCCTGTAGGACAGGATAAAACTGCCCCATAGGGTTTTCCAGGGTGTAACCTTTACACAAGTAGACTGCCACATCTTTCGCTTGAGGAGTAGCTGATAGGCTCCAATCGATGGCCTTTCAGGTAGCAGCCAAGTGCTTAACTACTGTACCACCAGGGCTGTTGTTGTTGTTATATGCCGTGGAGTCAGATCTGATTCATAGTGACCCCTCCTTGTGTTGCTGAGGCAGTATCACTACGGAAGTAGATTGCCCAAGCTTCCTTCCAAGGAGTGGCTGGTGGGTTTGAACCACCAGCCTTCTGGTTAGCAGTCAGGTGCCTTAAGCTCCCACCACCAGGGCTACTCATTGCTAATTACAGGTCAAGAATTTATAAGCTGGTTTTTTGTTTTCTGACTAACTGGTTTCTGCTATTCTGATCGTAGTGTTATTTCCCGTCTGTATCATAACCACCTGCTGTAGGATCACTTTCTTCATTTATATTTACCTTTTTATGTTGCGTGTTTGTCTGTTACCTTTCTTTCCAAGGAGAGGTTTCATAGTTTAGGGAAATAAGAGTGTGGGGATGGAGACTTGAGATTGTGAAAGTTCTCATGCCTGATAAGTCTTCCTTTTTTCTTTTTTCTCTTCTTAGCTCTTCTAACAGCAGCTAGTATTTTCCTTTTCCTCTCTTGTTCCTTGGATCCCACTCTTTTCCCTTGATTTCACTTAGTCTTCGTGAACCCAGCTAGAGACCCCTCCCCTTCTCCCCCTGCCGGCCCAGTTATGGCAGAAAATGATGTTGACAATGAGCTCTTGGACTATGAAGATGATGAAGTGGAGACAGCAGCTGGAGGAGATGGGGCTGAGGCCCCTGCCAAGAAGGATGTCAAGGGCTCCTATGTCTCCATCCACAGCTCTGGCTTTCGTGACTTCCTGCTCAAGCCAGAGTTGCTCCGTGCCATTGTTGACTGTGGTTTTGAGCATCCATCAGAAGGTAATTTTTTTTCTTAGGCCTAGAATGTTCATTTGGTTGTTTAAAACTGTAAGAAACAGATGTGTCCATGGTTCCTCAGGTGATAGAGGTTTATATTTAGGGTAGACAAGAAGTACCAAAAAAACTATTTTAGCAACAGAAGAAGGTTGTGGATGTAGGCTGTTTTGCCGTGCATGATAGCACAAAAGTGGTAGTGATCCAAAAGCACCTTTGAGATCTGCCATTCATACTTGTGGTTGCCTTTTTTCCTTGTATGCTTGTTTTTGATTTTGTCACTGGCTCCTGATTTTAAACTAGAGAGGGGCTGGTTGGACCTTTAGTCCGCCTCTTTTGGGCCAGGGCCAGCTCTGGTGTAGGAAATTCCTTTACGATTGGCCTAAAGATAGCTGGCTTCTGGGTCATGTACCAAGTCCTTCATTCATTTTGTCTAAGCCTGCAGGGTTACGTGACCCAAAGTACAGCAGCCTAATTGGGAGAAATGGCCTGTGGCAGGCATTCAAGTTTCATGGATTGTTAACAGGTTAAGGAAAATAAGGACAAAACCAGGAGCACACTAAAGGTGAGCTGTTGGTAGATTCAAGTGGGTTGTTAGCAGGACCAGGGAGGAACTAGGAGGGTCTGATTTGGGGATGAGTGTTGTTGAGGGAATAGAATGCTAGGAAAGGTCTGAGAGTTGATGAGAATCAAGGAAATACTCTGGGACTTCAGTGATGAAAAAATGGGTTTGGCATGGTGAAAAAGGTTGTGGAGTTAATCAAGAGACTGAAGTCTGTTTTTTCTTTCTTAACTTTTAGTCCAACATGAGTGCATCCCTCAGGCCATTCTGGGAATGGACGTCCTGTGCCAGGCCAAGTCAGGCATGGGGAAGACAGCAGTGTTTGTGTTGGCCACACTACAACAGCTGGAGCCGGTTACTGGGCAGGTATACTAGGGGGTAGAGATGTGGGGAGTTTTGGGGAAGATGGTTTGGTTAAAGATAATTAGAAAGGGTGTTACTATCCCAGCTATGTGATGCTTTCAGAGCCATGAGTGTTTATTCCTAAGATGACTTCTTTCACTCTTGACTGATGGCTATGGAGGAAGACTGTAAATAAGCCTTGTGGAGGTGGAGGGGTGAGGTTAATGATTTCAGGCTTAGAATTGAAGTCCTGTATGATCTATCAGATAATGCTTTTTTTATTTCCCCAGAGCGGAGAGTAATAGTGAAAGAATATACTGTATGTCTGTGTCTGCTTCTCCCCCAAGGTGTCTGTGCTGGTGATGTGTCACACTCGGGAGTTGGCTTTTCAGATCAGCAAGGAGTATGAGCGCTTCTCTAAATACATGCCCAATGTCAAGGTAAGCCAAAGTGAAAAGACATGGGAGGCTGAGAATTTGGGGAGTTGGAGATGACAAAGACTTGTAGATTGGCAATCTTCATGTCTCCTGTGCCCTTCAGTGTACATGGTAGTAAATTCCTGCAAACTTTTGAGTGTACAAGGGATTTTAATACTCATTATTTTTCTCCCTTTGGCTGACAGGTTTAGCATTTAGGGGGCTGGAAGCTCTAAGCGACTTTAGTGTGGTGTGTGAATTTTGAGAATTAAAATGACAAAAGATAGAAAAATGTCTGGGGCCCAGCCGTTTGATACATTATGGTTTTGAGATGAACTTGTTGGAAATGCAGATTATATGGGCCTCACCCTGGATTTACTCAATAGGAACATTCATTTTAAAGAGAGAGATCCCCAAGAGCTTGAGAACTGAGGTATATGATAACTTGTTACCCTCTTGCCTAAGATGAGGTGACAAGTATTTTAGCCAAAAGAGTAAGAGTACTTTTACTCAGGGAACCATGATTTTTTCTTCTATTCATTATATTTTAATGGAATTAGGAATGTTTGGTCATAATCCTAAACTAAAAATATTTTTTAAAAAAATCAGTAGTAGAATAGTACCTGGGCATGGTAGAAACACTGAAATAACCCAGAAGGCCTTAGACTGAAAAGATTCATGCATTCCTATTTCCAGTCCTGCTTCATAGAACATAATAACTTATTAACCAATTTTATAGTTCCAGTGGTTCTGTGTCATTAAATAGTAGGCACTTTTTTTTTTCCCATTTTACTTGTAAAAATACATGTAACAAAATATTGGCCATTTTAGCATATTTTATGTGTACAATTAAGTGACATTAATTATATTTATGTTGTACAACCATCACCACTGTTGGCCAAAATTTTTTCATCATCCTTAGCAAAAGGGCACTGTTTTTTGATTTATCAAATTAGAGACCTTTTTTACTTTCTTTCATGAAAAATTTAGCTGTTGATGTTATTCTAGTTCAGTATCTGGAAATTACATTAATTTTAGTTTTTTAAATGTGTTGTGCATGCCACGTGTGTTATGCAGGCCTCTTTCTTGTATGTTGCCAGACTGACATTTTCTGTCCTTTGGCCAAGGAGCCTTGCCTGTGAGTTGAAAACAGTTACATTGTTACCACCGTGGAAACATTGTTGTGCCTAATAGTGAGCTAAGGTTATACTTTCTTCTCTATAGATCAAATTCATCCTTGTGCCACTCAAAAGAAAATATTCCTGGTGTCAAGATCACTTACAAATTGTGCAGTGTTTTTTTTTTTTCTTTTACTATTGCTCGAAGTTAATGCTCAGATTGGGCCAGTTCTACAGATCGTCCCATTGTTGTGCTTAGTAGTGAGCTAAGGTTATACTTTCTTCTCTATAGATCACATTTATCCTTGTGCCACTCAAAAGAAAATATTCCTGGTGTCAAGATCAATTACAAATTGTGTAGTGTTTTTTTTTTTTTTCCTTTTACTATTGCTCAAAGTTAATGCTCAGATTGGGCCAGTTCTACAGAACGTCCCACCTCTGGATTTGTTGGGTTACTCCCTTGTGCTGTTTAGCTTGTTCTTTTCTATTTCCTGTGACCTGGATTTAGATTTGAAAGCTTGATTCAAGTTAAATGTTTTTGGCAAGAATGTTTCATAGATGATACTATGTATTTCCTATTTTATCACGTACTTAGGTTAGTGATTTGAAAAATTAATCGGAGAATTAGGGTCATGATAGTCTGATTATGCCATTGTTCTTTCCCCCCTTGAAACTAGAAAGCAATTTTTTTTTTTTCTTTTTTATTGTGACTTAGGTGAAAATTTACAGAGCGAATTCACTTTCCGTGCAGCAGTTCACATTTTGTTTCATGACATTGACTACAATTCACCACAATGCAACAGCTCCCCTCCCACTTCCTCCTGACAGTTAACTTCCCTGTGTCCATCCCTCCATGTACTCCTGCCCCCTGAGCTGTCTCCCTGTGCATCAGTGGCCCTTCTTTGTCCCATGATTGTTCTTTCCAAGGAGTGTATCTATCTCAGGTAAATGTAGAAAGCAGTTTTTGTTGTTACTCAGCACTGTGCTAATGCCCAGATTCTCAGCAACCATTTACCTAATGGTTTTAATATATGGAGTGTTAAGTGTAGCCCAAGTCAGTAATTTCATAAAGTTTATGATAAGGAATTTAAAAAATCTGGGTTTGGTTAGGGAAATGATGTTCCATGTGCTTTGTAGCACTTCACACTCCTTTGTCCTCATTTTTATAGTGAAGCCTGGCCTTTAGAGTCATTTGAAGGAAGATTGTTAGATTAAGTCAGATTAAACATGCAACTTTGTGCCACTTACTTGCTTCTGAGCCTTAATGTTTGGGAGACAGGAATCTCTGAAGTCTCCTTTTTAAAAGCCCTGGTGGTGGCACGATGGTTTAAGTGTGTGCTTGCTAACTAAAAGGTTGGCAATTTGAATTCAACAGCACCTCCACCGGAGAAAAGACCTAGTATTCTGCTTTTATAAAAATTACAGCCTAGGAAACCCTATGGGGCAGTTCTGCTCTGTCACGTTAGGTTACATGAGTCAGAGTCAACTGGATGACACATAACAAGAACAAAATCTCTTTTAGTTCTGTTCCCCGCACCCCCTCCCCGATCTATTTTACTTGACAGTTTATAGAGCAAGTTAAGTTTCCAATTTGATAGCTGGTACATAAAGTGTTCGATGACATTGGTTGTATTCCCCACAATGTGTCAACACTTTCATCATTTCCACCCTGGGCTTTCTGTTTTCTTTTGTCTGGAGTTTCTGCCCCTTCCTGCCTTCTTGTCTTTGCTTTTGGGCATATGGTATCCTTTGTTCTAAGTCCCAGGTGGTGTTTATTTTATGACCCTATCTGCTTAGCTGAAAGGTGGTCTCTGGAAGGTGGCTTCAGTTCCAGGTCAGAAGGGTATTTTAGGGCCATAGTCTAGGAGGTTCTTCAGTCTGTCAGACCAGTGGGTCTGGTCTTTTTTTGTTTTTGTTTTTGTGAATTTGATTTTTTGTTCAACATTTTTCTCTCGCTCTGTTTGAAATGTTCTAATGATTGATTTAGATCACACTGAAGAATAGGAAATGTGGAGAGATTGGAATTTTTCCTTCCTTATGAGACTCACTTTCTTTTCTCTCTGCGTTGGCAGGTTGCAGTGTTTTTTGGTGGTCTGTCTATCAAGAAGGATGAAGAGGTGCTGAAGAAGAACTGCCCACATATCGTCGTGGGGACCCCTGGCCGTATCCTGGCCCTGGCTCGAAATAAGAGCCTCAACCTCAAACATATTAAACACTTTATCTTGGATGAGTGTGATAAGATGCTTGAACAACTCGGTGAGTGGCAGTGTTAACATTGGGATAGTAATCTAGGGGTTTGCCCTTTGGAGCCAAATGATGTTTATTTGATATAGGAGCACTTTAGTGCAAGGACGACTCTTAATCTATCACCCATGACTGATGGCTCTGGGCGCTCTGATCTGTGGCAAGGTTTTGGAAACTTAAGTCAGTCTTTATTATCCTTTTAAGTAGCTGTGGTGATAGGAAGAAAGGTGTCATGGTCTTCCTTCTTTTCTGACAGCTGTTTCTTTACAGTAAGGGACTCTGCTAATCTCGTATATCACCACCACTCATTCCTTGATAGATTTCCCATAGTGCACGTCATAGGAAAGATACTAAACTGAAAGAGGAGACATTGTGCCAGTTCTAACGCACAATATATGATCAGAATTTATAGTTGAATAGATTATAGACTTATAGTGCTAACATTAGCTTGGAGAGTATGTGTATTGTGTGATATTCCAATGTGTTAGTGGAATTAACAATGGAAAAATTGCCGTAAAAACTGAATTTAGAGAAAGGAAGCATGGGGATGGCCATGGGAGAAGTCATCCCAAACGATCTTTGGTTATTCAAGATGGTAAGCTGTCAGGTGGGCCCTAGTTAGAGATGTCCTATTGCTTGACTAAATAGGAAAGTATGACCCAGAGGAGGCATACATAGAATGGGCTCTGGAATGGAATTAGGTGATGAGTGTTGACAGGTAGAGGCTGGGATTTAAGGAGAGATGAGTTGGGAAAAGAGCCTTACAAAGCATTTTTTTAAATGCCTCATTCTTGTGATCTTCTAAAAGGAGTTTTGTCCTTATTTCATTGTAGTGGACATTGGAGTTTCATGGTCTTACTTCTTGCCCACTTAAAACACAGCTGGAACCTGATCCCAGATCTTCATTCAAAACTCGTTACTCTTTCCATTGTATTATTACTCTGGGTTTGGATTTTTGGTGGTTGAAGAAAATAGAGACCAGAGGGAAATCTCATAAAATGACTCCCTAGCTTGCCTATTTCTTAGTTTTTACTTCATTGGTAAGCCTGTCTCTGATCTTCATTATATTTTTTTTCCTTCCTGTTTTTTTCTTTGTCGTAGACATGCGTCGGGATGTCCAGGAAATTTTTCGCATGACCCCCCATGAGAAGCAGGTCATGATGTTCAGTGCTACCTTGAGCAAAGAGATCCGTCCAGTCTGCCGCAAGTTCATGCAAGACGTAAATACCCTTCTACCTTCTCTCCCTCCACTCCCCACCCGCTGCCTCCTCCCCTTCCTCGCCCTCTTCCTCCAGACTCCCTTAATCTTCAAGCACTGAGAAGGGAGCACGTGCCCATCTGGGAGTGACGACTCCTTGAAGAGACAGAGGCAGAGACAGTTAGTGTTAGGGTTTGCGCGTGTGCCAGGGAAACTCCGGAAGACTTGATCGGGTTAATGTGAGAGCGGGTAGTGTTCGACTTTTTTTTTTTTTTTTTTTTAAAAAAAAAACACACTTTTTGAACCTCTTCTCCCTTTTTGGGGGGGGGCAGGATTTTCTGCCCTACCACCCATTGTCTCCTACATAACCACTACAACCACGCATCTTCAAGGTGGCATCGAGCATACAATTGGAGCCTTCTGCTCCCCAAACTCACACCTTCCGGTGGCAGGAGAGCAAGAGAGGGACAGACAGATGGCAGGGCATGTCCAGAAGAAGAGCAAACAGCACGAATGAATCTGCCCCCTCCGGCGCACCTCCAGGGGCGGGGGCCTTTGGCACCTCAATCCCCGATCCCCTACTCCTTTCCGCCCTTCCTCGCACCCATCCGGAACCTCATCCGGAACCTCGGTTGATGTGAGCCAGCAACAGAGAACACACCGTGGCGCGGCGGGGAAGTGCGAACGGCACCCAGCGGTGGATGGCGGCAGCGGAGGCCGCGGGGAAACCTGACCAGGAAGCTGCGGACCAAACCAGCCTCTTTTTTTCTGTTCCCGGTTTTTTTTCCTGAACCCAACACGTGGCGTGCCTCCCTTCCCTCCAGTGTGTGTTGCGGGGAGGGGTGTCCTGAATGGGGTGGTAGATTTTTTTCTTTTTTTTTTTTTAAGACTCAGGGGAAAGGGGTGTGGGAAAATTAAAGTGAGGCATTCCACTTGGATGCAGCCATGTGGGTGTTTGGGTTGGGGGCCCAGTGAGGCCTATTGTATAAGCAGTGGAGTGTGTTCATTCCCTCCCTGCACTGCTCCTTCCCGTGGGATAACCTTTTGTGTCTCTCTAGCTGTATTTGGGTGCTAGGATTAGATTTGAAGGAGGCCGTTGAGTGTTTTGGAAAACCTACCTTTTGCTAGCCTGTCTTCTGGGATTAGGGATTAGCTTACCATTTTTCCCCATGATATGCACACACCTTTGCCTGTTTTGGTCCCTGGGTGTTTGTTAACTTGTGCCTGAGTTAGTATGCAAATGTTAAGACAAGTTAAACTTAGGAGTTGTTGAGTCTTGTGTAAATTTCTGTCTTGCTTATGCTACCTTCTTTCCCCCCTTTAAGGTTTTTTTTTTTTTTTTTTTTTTAAAGATGAATGCATATCTGCTGCTGAATTTGTTTTTATTTTTAAATTATGATTTTATTGAAACATTCTGTGTAGTAACCCTGTAGAGGATTTGACACTCAGTTCAGTGACCAGTCTTACCTAAAACTACTCTGTTATGGGCTGAGGTCAAATTATTACTTGTCTTGACTAATTTTTTCTTCTCTTTTCATGGCATTTTAGCCATGCCCATTGTAGCATTCTGATCTTAAAGATACCATTCTCTTTATGAGTGTTTAAATCTCTTTCTTGAGAGAATATTCAAATGGAGCAGTCCTTCTCTTACCCTGTATTAAACCAGCCCTGATGGGGTTATTCTGACCTCAAATCATTGTTTCCCATCATTTTTCAGATGTTTGGGTCATGTTTTCTCTTTGAGAAACAGCCCCCATTGTTTTGATTCTTTGCTTTACTGTCCCTTTGAAATAATGGCACCTTGCCATTGGGTAGTTCTGCTGTTCCTTTTCCTCCCTTGCCAAGTTCCCTTCCCAGGACAGTTTTCATTTGGGCAGTCTTAAAATCCTACTGATAGCAAGGAAATTGGATCTAATGTGGAAGAAACCACGTTAAAATGTGGATTTTTTTGGGGTGGGGGTGGGGTTTTCAATCTTCTCTCTTTTCCCCATCCCCCCCCAAGGGGTGTATTGGATATCAACTTCCTCCAACCCCCCCCAGGTTTAACCCCCCCACTCTGCCCTCCTCCCGTTCCCTACCCCCTTCCTCCCCCCCAGCCAATGGAGATCTTCGTGGATGATGAGACGAAGCTGACCCTGCATGGGTTGCAGCAGTACTACGTGAAACTGAAGGACAACGAGAAGAACCGGAAGCTCTTTGACCTTCTAGATGTCCTTGAGTTTAACCAGGTCAGTTGTTCATAATCCAGTAAGAGTGGGCATTGGATTCATCTCTAGGTATAGCAGAAAGCTCTTTAAGTGCCTTTTGAGGAAACTATATGCTATGTGAGGAAATACAGGGAAACTCTTTGAAATGAGACTACAAATGTCTTTGGTGGTCAAGTTGGTGGTCTCTGAAGTGTACCAAAGTTAGAGCATGAGCAAGGGGGAACTGATTTTCTCTTCCATTGCTGGTATAACAGGTACTTAATAAATAAATACATCAAATAAATCTCAGTTAAAAACCTAAAAGGATTTTAAATTTAAAAAAATCCCAAACCATTTTGGGCCTATAACTCAAAAATGGCTACAGCTGTACATCAGGAGGGAACTTGCAGGAATTCAGAAGAGGGCATGGAACCAGGTGTACCATCGCTGATGTCAGATGGATCTTGACTTGAAAGCATAGAATACCAGATAGATGTTTACCTGTGTTTTAACAACTATGCAGAGTCATTTGACTATATGGATCATAATAAATTATGGTTAACATTATGAAGAATGGAAATTCCAGAACACTCAGCTGTGCCCATGGATCAAGAAGTAGTCACTCAAACAGCAAGGAGATACTGTGTGGTTCAAAACTAGAAAAGGGATGGCAGTGAAGTTTTATACTTTTACTTTATTCGGTCTGTGTACTGAATAAAATAATCCAGGAAGCTGGACTACATGAAGAAGAAATAAAGGCATCAGAAATGTAGGAAGACACAGTAACAACCTATGATAAGCAGATAACACAACCTTGCTTGCTGAAAATGAAGGCAGCTTGCTCATACTGATGGTCAAAGACTACAGTTTTGGTGTGGATTACACCAGAATGTAAACAAAATAAAAATCCTTATAAGTGGACCAATAAACAACATGATAAATGGAGGAAAAAATAGAAGTTGTTAAGATTTTTCTTTGTGTTTGATTCAGTAATCAATGCCCATGGAAGCACCAGTCAGGAAAATCAAATGACATACTGCATTGGGCAAATCTGCTACAAAAGACCTCTTTAAAGTTTTAAGAAGCAAAAATGACCCTTTGATGACTAAGGTGCAGCTGACCCAAGTCATGATCTTATCAATCTCATGCATGTGAGAGCTGGACAATGATAAAAGTGATGTATTTGAATTGTGGTATTGAGGAAGAAAGAACAAATTATTAGTCTTACAGTAGAACCAGAATGCTCCTTAGTTGCAAGGATGATGAGACTTCGTTCTGTTTTGGACTTGTCCTCAGGAAAGATCAGTTGCTGGAGGGGGACATGATGTTTGGTAAAGTGGAGGGTTGGTGCAAACAAAGGAAATTTGTAACGAGATGGATTGACAGAATAGCCAGCGGTAGGCTCACACAAAGACCGTGGAGGTGGCACAGGACCAACTAGCGTTTACACATAAGGTCACCATGCATCAAAGTTGACTTGATGGCAGTTAACAACCACAGTGTTCTTAAATGTTTCTTGTACTACTATCAAGGAGGAATATTCTGTCGGTTTGCCTGCTGTATGGTTTATTTGCACTGAAAACTTTTGCAAAATTAGAGTAGGTCCCTTGGGTTTAATATTTTGGTGAGTAGGAATATTGATCATGGTCTTTATAGACTTAGGGTCTAAGTTGTATTATTTTTTTATGAGATAGTCTCATCCTTGTCTCCTGACGTGGCTATTTTTGTCTTTGTTCTCTGTACCATCTCAGGCCAGTTTGTTGCCATTGAGTCAGTGCTATCTTATGGCCACCCCATGTGTTTAGAGTAGAACTGCTCCATAAGGTTTTTAAACCTATGACCTTTCAGAAGCAGATTGCCAGGCCTGTCTTCTGAGGTGCCTTTGGGTTGGTTCAAACTTCAAATGGCTAACTTTTTAGCAAGTAGTTGAGTGCTTATCTGTTTGCACCACCCAGGGACCTGAGGCCAGTCTAAAAAATAAACTAAACCCATTGCTGTTGAGTCAATTCCGACTCACAGTAACACTGCTGAGCAAAGTTAGAATTGCCCCATAGGGTTTCCAAGGCTGTTAGAGAAGCAAACTGCCTCATCTTTCTCACCTGGTGCAGCTGGTGGGTTTGACCCACTGACCTTTCATTTAGCAGCCAAGCACTTCATTACTGCCTCCAGAGCTTCTAATATTAGGCTAGTCTGCTCAGGTAAAAGTCAGAGCCAAATGAGAGAAGGTCTGAGTTATGTTTAGAACAAAGGGGAGAATTGGTGGGGAATGAGGGACTGGAGGATTTCCTTTAAAAGTAAAATGACTGAAAACTTTTGTAATTATCCTTTTCTCTCTCTCACACACGCACACTCTTGTGGACCCTCACCTCCCCTGTGGACCCTCACCTCCCCACACACGCCACTCACTCACAGGTGGTGATCTTTGTGAAATCTGTTCAGCGTTGCATTGCCCTGGCCCAGCTCCTAGTGGAGCAGAATTTCCCAGCTATTGCCATCCACCGTGGGATGCCCCAGGAGGAGAGGTGAGTTGGAAAGTGGAGGATGTTTTGTTTCACTTGGAGGAAAAGAAACTATTTGAGAAAAGAGCATCTTAACATTTTTTTATTTCCTTTCTCACAAAGGCTTTCTCGGTACCAGCAGTTTAAAGATTTTCAACGACGCATTCTTGTGGCCACTAACCTGTTTGGTCGAGGCATGGACATCGAGCGGGTGAACATTGCCTTTAACTATGACATGCCAGAAGATTCTGACACCTACCTGCATCGTGTAAGCCTCACATCGAGATTGACATCCCGTTTTCCTCTCTATGCCCTCATTTCCTCTACGTTTTCATCCCCAGTTCTAACCTCTAATCTCTCTCCTTTCAGGTGGCCAGAGCAGGCCGGTTTGGCACCAAGGGCTTGGCTATCACGTTTGTGTCAGATGAGAATGATGCCAAGATCCTCAATGATGTTCAGGATCGCTTTGAGGTCAACATTAGTGAGCTGCCTGATGAGATAGACATCTCCTCCTACAGTGAGTGTTGATCGCATGGAACTGGCTTCCCCCTGCTTTCTAGTTTGTTGGTCCTTAGTATGTTTTAAATTCCATTAAGGGTTTAAAGCAAGAAATAAAAATCATAGTCCCCTAGGCTTTGATGTCATGTTGGGGTGTTTTGCTGACCTTTGTGGCATCTGTCTTCCATCAAATTATTTCTCTTTCCCAAGTCTGTTCTCTGAACCCACGTAGTATACAAATATCTGCATGTATGTGTGTGTGTCTGCCAACCTTGCTTTTTCCTTTCTATGCCTTATTCTAATTGTCACGTTTTCTCTTCAGTTGAACAGACGCGGTAGAGGATTCGTTCATTTTGGAATGCGACAGTCTGTTCCTCTTCGTGAGACAACACCAGATGTGGGGGTGAAGGAGACACTACTGCCACCTACCCCTCCCCCCTCCCCCACGGCTTCCCTCTTTTGCATCACCACCACTCCTAAGTCCCCATTCCTGATTTGTCAGGATTTTTTTAACAAAACTAAAAAACAAAACACGTGCGTCTGTGATATCTATAAGCACTCTATCCCTTTATTGGATTTGGGGTGAAGTCGTTTAAAGGCATGAGCCAGGGCAAGGACCCTACTTTGGACCAGGAGGTCAGTGGGTGAGGGGGAACACAGCAGGAATTGTGGCTCCCTGCTGCCTTCCAATTTCTGGCCCACTGTGGAGGGCTTACTCCTGGTTTCTCAGTGTTCTGGGAGAGGCTGTGATGTTCCTGATTGAAGGACTTGAGCACTGTGGTGTGCCTTATTCCCAGCGTTGGTGGGTGAATTGGGAACTGCTGGGAAACTTAGGCATCCATCTCCCCCTTGGCTTTCTCGGTGTCTCATCTGTTCCTTCAACTTCTGGATCTTGAGCACCAGGGCCTGGGCCTCCCAGGCCCCCTCTTGCCCTTCCAGCAGTGCCTGGTACAGCTCCAGCTGCTGCTCCAGCAACTCCTCAGCTTGGGCCAGTTCAGCTGTGCGTTGGGGCCCAGCACCCTGGGTGAGGGGGTCATTGGGGAGAGCATCAGACTCTGGCCAGGAATCCCATTTTCCCCTTTCTGTTGCTCATTGAAATCACCTGTACTGGGAAGAGGAGGTGCTTCCAGTCTTGGGCATAGGCCTCTGGGGGCAGGTTAAGAGAGAACTACCCCAGGATCTGTAACTGGACCCTAAAAACTTCTCCCCTTGTGCAACAGTCTTGGGTTATGGGAAGGAGAGGACTGGCTGTCCCTCCTCTGTAAGAAATAATTAACTGTTACATGAGGGAAAATTTCTGTTCAAGGACTTTGTGAACTACTATGGGGAGGGAGAGGAAGCCCTGAGGTCAGGAGCTGCGTGGGGGTGGGGAAGGGGCTGGGAGCTGAGAGAACTAGGCAACAGGCTCCAGGGGTGGGGGTGCTGTCTGATTCCAGCTGCTCTGTGTGGGATGGGGTGGGGAGGCTGCTTCCCCACCCTAGTACCGATCTTTCAGGCCCTCCACCCCTGCTGCTGGTGTCACTTACCCTGGCAGGTGAGCTCATCTTTCCACTGTCTGAGGAGCTGGTCTGCTCTTCAGTGCTTGTTCTGGGAGTCTGGGAGCAGCACCCCCGGGAAGCCTGGGGGGCCAGAGACCAAGAGAGTAGGAGGCCTCGGCAATAGCATCGAGAGAGCTGGGACAGAGGGAGCACCATGGTGGTGAGGCAGGGAGCTGTCTGAGCCGACCAGTAGCCACAAGGAACTGGCTCCCACTGGGCTGTGGGGCTTGTTTCGGTGCCCAGCCCTGCCTAGGCCCCCGCCCCTGCCCCGCTCCGCTGACCCCACTGCCCAGCCTGGCCCCAGACAGAGTCCAAGAACTGTTGCTGATGTGAAAAACATTGCTGCCAGTTTAGGCAGAACTTGCTTCAGACAGCTGGTCCCCAGGTAACCACACTTGGGGCTGTTTTGCTAGGCATTATGTTTTTTCTCACTGTCTCTGTAAGGTAGGAGTTGTAACATTGGTTTGCAGATGAGGGAATTAGCTCATCAAGGAGTATTCAACATTCACTTAGGCAAGTAGTCTGTTCAGGCCAACTCTAGGCCAGAAGTGCTCCAGGTCCTATAGCTGTTTGATGGAAGAGCCTGGAGGATTTATATCCAGGTGTTCAGATGGTGTTGAATGGAGTTTGACTTAAGTGAAGCCATGTGGCAGTAGAACTGCCCCAGGATTTTTGAGGCTGTAATCTGTGGAAGTAGATTGCCAGATCTTTCTCCCAGGAAGCTGCTAAGTGGTTATGAACTGCCCACCTTTCAATCAGCCCTCAGTGCTGTCCGTTTGCACCACCAGGGCTTCTTATATCCTGGTCTTACCCAAAGTGAAAGCTCACAGACTTGGCTCTTACACTGATTTCCCCATTATTTCCCTTTTATTGCTGGCCCAGAATTGTCTTTTTTCATTGCCCTTATTTTGCTTTCTATTTCTTTGGGGTTTGTCTTCTCTAGTAGATCCGGGCATCTTTGTATCACAACCTGGCTCCTGACAGAACTTGACACTAGTGTAAGTTTCAAGATTTGTACTGAGCCCTTCCATCCTTCAGCACTAGATCAGAAGCCTTTGCTGTACACCATGTGAATGAAAGTTCTGAAATGGTGTCCTGTTGTGGCTAGAGGGCATAGTGGCATCCCTCTGAGCAGAGATGACTTCAAAGGGAGTGGATGATAATATGGGGAAGAGTGGATTCTCAGGGGAAAAAAAAAAAAACCCACCAAAAAACATTCCTTAGAAGGCAAAGATTGCTGGGTGGATCCAACCACCTAACCAGCTCATTATCTTCGGGACATGCCTCTATTCACAGGGAAGATGGTGTAGGGGTCCAGGAGCCAAGCAAGGGAACTTTTCTACAGGTTCTCAAACTTGGGCTGAAGCACTTTTAGATGCCAAAGGCCACAAGCTCCCCATTAGCTGACTGGTTCCCACATTTTAGTGGAAAAACCAATTATCCCCTTCGGTGAAGGGGAGTTTTTATTAATTCCCTTTAGTGATAGGATTATGCATGACTCGAATTACAATGTATACACACACATTGGAGGCCCACTCCTTACAGATACATGAAACCACCCAGTGTAAGGTTAAACAACCTACAACAAAGTAACACTTAAGCTAAACCAGCTGTATTTGTAAATTAAAAGCAAGATTATTAGCAGTGGGGGAAAGAATCCAGACTATGGACTAATAAAGTTTGGTTACTGGAAACTCGAAATTCCAACCATCTGAGTTTGTGCTTTAGATTATGAACTTGAAAATGGAGTCTACCAAAACCAAACTCACTGCCATCTAGTCAGTTCTGACTCACAGCAACCCCCATTGGGTTTCCAATGGTATAAATCTTCATGGAAGCAGACTGTCATCTTTCTTCAGTGGAGCTGCTGGTGGGTTTGAATCACTGACCTTTTGGTTAACCCCTACACCACCAGAGCACTACCCAAATGAGCTAACCACCAATAATTTACAGTACGTAGTTCTGAGCCATCAATTTAGAGTCTGAAATTTGTTCATCTTTAAGAAATAAAAGGGCTTTGTGTCAGTTCAAGATCTGTTGGGTAAGGTCTAAGTCTTGTAATCATGGATATGAAGATGTGAAGTTAAGTTAGATTACCTGGTTTTGTGTTACTGTATACATGTATTTACTTTTTGTTTCCTGAGTCTCTAATAGAGTCTTAGTTCTGGTCTGGCCTCCTGAGAGGAGGCAGCCTGTCTTCAGCCAGGAACAAGAAAGAAACTATGAGAAACATGCACAAGTTGAAGGGGCTGCAGAGCCCGCCGAGGCCATAGTGTTGATGGCACCTTTAGTGCTGCATCATACCGAGAGGACTGGTAGGACAGGGCTCACTGACAGGAATCATTCACTGTATGTTTCATGTGAAACTCCACTGGGGTTGGGAACTGAGGGTTATCAAAATCCACCCATCTCATTAATTTGAGAGCCTGCTACATGCTACACGTGAGATCCCGCTGGGCACTGTCACAGGAGCTTCACAGGAACCTCTCAAGAGAACTGACTTCCCTTTTTTAAAAAAATTTTTTATTGTGATTTGGGTGAAAGTTTACAGAGCAAATTCATTTTCCATACAGCAGTTCATACATATTCTGTTTCATGACATTGACCGCAATTCCCCACAATGTAACAGTTCTCTTCTCACTTCCTCCCTGTAGTTACCTCTTCCCTGTGTCCTTTCCTATGCATTCCTGCCTCCCCCCTCCATCTCCCTGTGCAAATACCACCCTTCTGTTCTCCAATGATTGATTGTTCTAAAGAGTGTATCTGGGAGCTCTGGTAGCATAGTGCCTAAGGCACTTGACTGCTCACCAGAAGGCTGGCGGTTCAAACCCACCAGCCACTCCTCGGAAGGAAGGTTGGGCAATCCTACTTCCGTAGTGATACTGCCTCGGAAACCCAAGGAGGGGTCGCTATGAGTCGGGGCCGACTCGCCGGCAAATAACAACAACAAAGAGTGTATCTACCTGATGTAAATGTTCACCTTATATGCCTGTCTTATTTGGCTGGAAGCCATGGGAGTGAGTTCAATTCCAGACCTAACTAGGGGGCTGTAGTCTCGGGTGTCTGACTGGGCTCCATCAGACCGGTAAACTTGGTCTTTTTTTTTTCTTCATGATTTTGAGTTTTGTTCCACATTGTTCTCGCATTCTACCCAGAATTTTATTTCCCTTTTTTAAATTAAACTTTTTATTTTGAAATACTTTTAAATTTACAGAAAAGTTGTAAAGATAAGAGTTCCCATATATGTTTCACCCAGGCTTTCCCTAATGGTAACAGCACAATACTTTTAAGTATAGACTTTATTTGGATTTCATCAGTTTCCTTAAGAGGACAAGGCACACAGTGGTTTCAGGGCCTGCCCAAGCTCACACGGACTACTTGTTGTTGTTGTTATGTGCCATCGAGTTGGACCGGACTCATAGCGATCCCTCCTTGGGTTTCCGAGGCAGTATCACTGCGGAATTAGATTGCCCAACCTTCCTTCCGAGGAGTGGCTGGTGGGTTTGAACCTCCAGCCTTTTGGTTAGCAGTCAAGTGCCTAGGCACTACGCTACCAGAGCTCCCCACGGACTACTAAGAGGCTCTTATTCAGCACCACGATTGAGTTCATTCAATGTAGCCTTCAATATCCAAGACATCATGGCTAGTTCTCTACGCAGTCTTCATTTCTTAAAGCTTGGGTTTTTTTTTTTTTTTTTTCTCTCAGTCTGAAGGGCTCGTAAATTCGGTAATTGTATTCCCTAATAACAGCAAAGGAGCTCTGGTAGCATAGTGCCTAAGGCATTTGACTGCTAACCAGAAGGCTGGCAGTTCAAACCCATCAGCCACTCCTCAGAAGGAAGGTTGGGCAATCCTACTTCCGCAGTGATACTGCCTCGGAAATCCAAGGAGGGGTCGCTCTGAGTTGGGGCCGACTCGATGGCATGTAACAACACAACAACAACAATAACAGCAACAACAATACTTGGAGACTTTTTTTTTTTTTTTTAAGCTTTCAAGTTTCAGTGTAAGCCTCTGAATCCAGGGTTTCTGGGCTTTGGTGAACACATCGATTATCACTTACAAAATCGTCCAGAATAGGCAAAAAGAAAAAAGCAGCAGATGGAGGAATCACTTATATTTTTCTTTTGTGTAGACTATTTTCCTATTTATGCTGCCCTTCCCATGTCCGTGGGCGTGAGGAAAGAATGGCTCCCTTGGACTGTGAGAGAGAAATGATGAAACAGCTTTATCACTTCCAACCCTTGCACTTCGGCTTTAGCTGTGCCCATTCTCCCTCCACAACCCCTGGTCTGTAGGACTTTTCCTTCTCACAGATTCAGCCAAAGGCCAGACTCACCGAGTGAGCCATTTACTCCTGGAGGGTAAAGAAGAGGGGTTGTGGTAGAAGGTACAGCAGGAATGAAGGAGGTTGCAGTAAGAAAGACTTCCCTGTGCGGGCTGAGATGTGAGTGATTAGATGGTATCTGAGGACATTCCCAGCATCTCCATTTAGGAAAGAAGGGAGGGGTTTGGATAGAAGGACATAGAGTATGGGCAGGGTTTGTATGACATTCACCCTACCCTCATCCCTGGTCCTCTGACAATGCCGAACCTCAAGTCACAGTGAGGGGCCCCTTCAGGCCCAGGTGCTCCACAAAGCTGGTGTATCTTATCTCCTCTCCAGGAAGGACTCCCAGCTGCCCAGCTCTGGTAGGTCTCATCTCCCCCAGATCAGGTTCCTGTTCCTTTCTATTTCACAGCCAGGTTGGCATGATATTGGCAGATGAGAAGCCAAATGCTTGAGATTGCCCTCAGGGTCCTCCTTGTCAGTCATCAGAACCCTGAGGGGACCCTGGATGCAGGAGAGAGAGAAAAGAGAGAGAGTGAGGGTGACCCCATTTCTGTTACTTCTCTCAGGCCTCCTCCACACTCAACACCTTCCCCTCTCTGAAATCCTCAAACCAAACATCATTATGATTCTGACTTATAGTGACGCCCTCTGGGTTTCTGAGGTGGTAAATCTTTATGGAAGTAGATTGCCCAGACTTTCTTCTGCAGAGTGGCTGGTGGGTTTGAACCACCAACCTTCCGGTTAGCAGTCAAATGCCTTAAGCACTATGCCACCAGAGCTCCTTCTCCAATCCCTAGGACTTCTAAAAACTTGGGCAGAACCC